TAGCAGCCGTGAATATTGCAGTAAAACTGAATGCTGTTTGCAAACGTAACATGGCAAGCAAACGATCATAACGAAACTGCCTTACCGTATGTTTACGAAGCGAAAGCTAACGCCCACTTTTCCTCAGAAAAGCCTCCGTCAAGAGCGAAAAGTCTGTGTTTAGGTGAACGAAGCAATTTGGGTCCAAGGTTTATCGTGACTAAATTTTGACTTAAAAACAACAAACTTCTTCTTCGTCAATGTACACACTTTATGCAAAGTGAACGTATTGTGCTATACACATGCAAATTTTCTCTTTTTAGAGAAATTCAATTAGGTCAGTGCTGTAAACAAAAGTTTCCTTTATTTTTGGACAAAAAAGGTGGTTCTAAAGATATTAACAGAGAAAAACCCAGCAGGGTCAGTTATGTAGCACATACAGGCTAGGGTACAAACATGAATAAATGATGTTGTTCCTTTGTGATAGAAAAAGATGTGAGGCTGTTGAATTACGCCTGGTTGTCGTAAAAACGCTAGGATCGCTAAGAAATAAAGCTAAGATAAGGCCGTGCGTGTAGCAGATGCGTTCTTTCGCTCGTCACGCGTGGCAGGATTTATTCTTCTTGGCTTTCGAAGGGGAGAAGGAATAAGATGGAAAATCAGGCGCGCAAGGACCTTTTTCCCTTTCCCGCTTCCTGTAGGTCCTGGCTCGCCCAATTCAGTTCCCTATGTTAGTTTACACCTTAGCTATATATTTAGCCGTAGCTAAAGGCCATTAATGAAAAAACACTGGAATAAAGAAATCTAATTAGAGTTGAGCCTACAATCAGTTGAAAACTAAAAACATGTCAGCGGTAAACTTAAAAAACATTCTACCTCGATGAGTTGAGTCCGCTATACGGTCATATGATATTGGTCAGCGGATACCCTGTTTTGACAGTTGTCAATTTTGACAACAACATGAATGTGCAAAATCTAGTTGCAGGCTCCCACATGCACTCAAGCTAGAAAGTGTAACAGTTCACATTGGTTCCCCCGTGGTGCGAACTGACGGGCGGGCGGGCGGACGTACGGTCACGTGACTACCAAAATTTCTTGGACAGATAGATAACCAAATGTTTTTAGCTATGGGGCCCCGGCGTGTTTCGAACACGCGGGTGGAGCTTCGCTATGAGTTATAATGAAAACAAACTGCCCCTTTAATTTTTGCACTGCAAGACCGGGAAGTACTAGCTTGGTTAACAAAGTTTTATACGAGGAGGCTCCGCCCCAAGGTCCAAGCCCCTACCCTTTTAAATACCATTTTTGGCAGGAAAGGTACCCATTTCGTAAACGTTCTATTGACAAATCAGAGCACCCCTCGTACCTAGCTGAGAAATTTGCATCCCTTTCAACTTCTGTAAATGCACTGTGTTTAAAATAATTATGAATAAATCACACAACAAGAACGCTTTTCTACACTTTTTCACAGTAAGTGTACCTGCTAGCCCTTTGGGCCCTTTTACAGACCGAAATGACAGATGTCCCTAACCTCTCATATACTAAAAAAATCCCTACCCATTTATATACCTGAAGCATGAAAAAGGTACCCCTTTCGGACGGAGCCTGGCCAGTTAAACCATTATAGAGATTACCCCCCCTCTCCCCTTCCCCCGCCACCTCTGAGAGAACTACTCGAGGAAAACAGATAACCATATATTATAACAAGAACAATTATTTCTCTCTTTCTGGTGTGTGTTATTTCCCGTTGGCTCAACTATCCCGGCGGGAGAGGGAAAAACGTATGCTGGTTGGTTCTGTCACAGATTCAACAAGGTTCAAAAGTTCTAGGCAAACTTAACCATCTCTACATCGCCCTTTGCATTTACAAAAAAAAATTCCCGAATATTTGTCGCAATCCTTGACAAATGTCAAACATGTTCGAAATGATGCATACATCAGCTAAAATATTATGGAGGAAGTTGTGCAAAGTAAGAATGGGAACCGAAGATCTAAAATACATGAAGAATTCACTTAGTTGCTTCTAGTGCCACAAAAGGTCACACGTTTCCCTTGACCTTTTCAATTACCTAAGTGATCAGAAAACTTCTTCAGCGTTCCGATGTGTCTGTGAGTATTCTGTGAACGCTAGCGTGCAGAAATTGAAATCTGTTACCCTGTTCTGTGTCGACCAAAGCTTAAAATGCCAGGAACGAGCCAACAAAAATACTGCTTGGTGAAGGTTAAAGACATGAAAACCAAACAAGTTATAAAGAGGCATATAAGATATCTCAAATAATGAGACAATACCCGTAACTGTAACTAGGCCAATAGAAACATCCGCACCATGTTACGACCTCTTGTCACTTCCCACTGTGCTGTGACTTCGTATCTCCCTTCTCAAGCGCGTTTATTTTTGTGTTCTTCCTTCGAAGCGGAAGGTTACCAATATTTTAATCAGTTTATTAATTTTAGTCTTACCTTTTTCACAGCGAGCTTGACGTGGACTCATTCAAAATGCGCAGAATTATGTCCACGGACAAACACAGTATGAAGTAACTACATTTAGATCTATAAATGATTGTTTTGCATTGGTTACCTTCAAAAATGTCAAACATCACTCGTTATCATTGTTCAAAGTTATTCATTCATTCCCGCCCACCTGAGGCCGGAGGGAGGTTTTTGTGGTTTAAGACTCCAGACAGGCCCCCCTGGATACAGGTTTTTCTCCTGTCGGATATACTCGTTCGAACTGTGGACATACATCCAAAAATTCATAGGTAAAATATTGAAACTAGAATTTTTATTCCCTTAAGTGATCAGGTCATGACTGCAAAGGAACTTATGAGACCCTGGGAAGTAGCTGGGCTTTATGAAGACGAACGATTTTCCAGCCCTTTCGTGATAAAAGAGCCAGAGCCTGCGTGGTCGGCGAAAAAAGGGGAGGGGTGGAAGGAAAGCGTGAAGGGTCGTTTAATATTTATGCCCCCTCTGCCTCGAGTATACTCTCGCCCCAATCCCCCTCCTTTTTTCCTTCCACTCCGCACCGCGCTGCATGCTACGCAAGCCAAAAAAAGTACAACATGGTAAACAACACTTAGAACCACTTTGTGGGCCTTGATCACCAATAAGGAAGGAATACTTTCAATATGTGGAGGTATCATACCGCCACCCCTTCGGGGGTGGAGAGGGGGTGGTGGGATTGGGGGGGGCAAGGGCAATGGATTCTGTCACTGAAGTACCCTGTGTAAATTACCTAAAAATAGCTAAAAATTGCTCTGGGTAGCCTGAAAACCCGAAACCCGATCTATGAAATTTCAAACCGGTTAACCCTGGGCCACATAGTGAAATGGAAAGACACCTTGGGGAGGAAAGAGGAAGGACTTCTATGGGCTTTCAAGAGCAATATTAAACGGGCATCAATGTTTGTTTTGCATATTTTTGTCTCACAAGTGTTTTTTTAAGACGAAGCTTACAGACATTCTTCCCTTATCTTTTTATATATCTCCCGACTTAGGGCCACAGAAAATTGCATGTTTTTCACAGATAAAACCTAAACAGGTTTCATGGAGAAAACCTGTGCTCTCATCGAAGTGTATTTATTGCTGCTGATATGAGTAAAACAGCAAATGGTGAATTATTTGGGGTCCATATAACTATAGGTGCAAGAGATGTTTAAAAAGGTAGGATCCAGGTGTAGGAAGTAACCGAAGTGTTAAATGTTTTAGTAGATGCGTTGATTCACGTCTTATAGACTGGTCAACAAGAGGAGCCGATATTTGTAAGATCACAGTAGATATAAACGTCAATTACCTTGCCGCGGTAGGTTTCGTAATACCCTTTTCGAAATTTACCATAAAAACAAAATGTAATGGCATACGTTTAGTGCGTTTGTTGTGAAATTTATGAAAAATGTTCTCTGGGGTAAGGGGGGAGGGGGCGGGGAGGAGGGGTAGGGCACTCCCTTTAATGGCCTAAATTACGTGGAGGATCAGGGGCTTCGCCTGAAGGGGGTGCTTTTTTCAAGCTTTAGGATATCAAATGGTAGGGAATTCACCAATTAAAGTATATGAGAGAGAAGGCAATCTATCATTTAAGAGTTTTAATGGGTCTTTAATGAAAATGTTTCGAGAAAGACATGCCTTATGGCCAGTCTGCGTGTAAGGCTATATAATTTTAAATGTCCCACGAAAAAAAGTCTTCCTGTTTTAGCGATTCATTCCAGTTCTTATTAGTAGGCATGTTAAGTGGGTACCATCTTTCAATGGGAGGTACACAAAGGTAAAAAATGGTGTATAAAAGGGTAAGGGGTGGGACCTTGGGGCGGGTCCTCCCTGTAGAAAAACTCTGTTGTTTTCCCCTCCAGGGAATTTCAGTGCTTGTACTTGTTTGCTCTTGAGAAGCGGTTGGAAGGTCAGTAGGTAAAAACCTTCACAATGTCAGTAAGGAAACAAACTTTTAGAACGGGATTACCCTTTAAATGGCACTCCGAAATAACTTATTTCCCCTTATTTCAAATTTAACTACTGAGGGTAAGCCGCCTGAGAAAACATCCGACATTTCGAGACGCTACCACCAAAAAATGACGTCTGAGAAACGAGCACAGAAATTCCATACGACGCGTCACCACACAGAACGCTTCACTACACAGATATGAGTAATGCCTCTGATTGGTCGAGTGACAGGGAAATTTTCGAAAATTTGCTTCAGCCAGTCAGACGCACTACCAGATCTTGGTAGTGACACGTCATCAGTATGGAATTTTTGTACCTGTTCCTCAGATGTCATTTCGTCGGGAAAACCAGTGCTGAGGCATTTTAAGACTTAGTTCGGTGTTGCGTAGAACTGTTTTATGGGGACGTTAACGCTTTTTTATTGGCTATTATATAAAAAAATATTGTTGCACGGCGGGGACCTGGATGGAAATGCGGCCTCCAAAAAAAGCCCCATGTTGCAGTTCGACAAAACGCGGACTCAGTCTCACGCGCAACCAAAAGAAAATACGGGGTTGAATCACCGGCAACCCACGCTCCAAATAAGACCATCGGCACTGTTGTACTATGTTCGAAATATAAGGATTTGTAAGGGGGAAAACACGATTGTTTCTGTAACCGGTTCCCGTAAAACCCATTAAATAGCCATAAATCCACTGTAAATCGTAAAAACAATCAGCTTAAATCGAACGAAAGATAACAATCGGCCGGTCAAACTCATCCCAAAACAAACAAAGTTTTTCAGTTACAACACACCAAATCTATTAACTACAAGCTGAAAAAGAGACCACCACTTACCAGGTATAGAGATTTGAATGCCCATCACGTCAAGTTGCCGATAGATATTTCCTTCAAGCAAGTTTCCTCCTCTTCTGCCGCTATTCCAAAGTAATTTTCCACGGTTATCCTGAAGGCACTTCAATTCCACAAACGTTGTTATTTTATCTATTTTTTGTTGTGTTCATTAATCAAAACAATACATCAACCACTAACAGCCGAAATACAATACTCCGGGAATGTGTTTGAAGCTGTTGAAAAGACTCACAGCTCGTGTTGGCATTCTGTTGGCATTTTAAGCATTGCATCGAAAAAATTGTCCACTTCCTTGACAATTCGTTATATGAGGGGCTGTACTGATATTCTTTGTGAAACACCCCTGGAACAAGACGCCTGATGCCTGTGCTGGCTACGATAAGAAGGATACCCCTCTCTTCCCCAAAGGGGCTCCTGTTGGCTATTCCAGTAAAAAAAGCAATAATAAAAATTGGAGGCTTGAAACCTCTCTTCTTCTCTTTCCCCTTCCCTTCGTCCCTCGCGCGCTTTCTTTTTTCCTTCTCCACTTCCCATGACACAAAGAGGCCTCAGTGCAGGAGAGAAGAGGCAGAGTATACCCCTCAAGGGCAGGGTCACACTCAGCCAGGTATCTGCCCAGGGAGGGGTGGGGCAGGATATAGAACTCAATCAATTTTGTTACACAAAAAGGGAGCAAAATAACCGTAAAGCAACTAATTAATAAAAACACACGACTTGTTTTCTTTTAAGATTAAGTTTAATACAAGGAAACCTAAAATCACACTTTCATTTAACTTACCGGATTGTATAGTAGAGTTGAGCAAGACAAAGTATAAAAACAGATACTTCTGGGAAAGTCGATGTAAAAAAAATCAAAATTCAAGAAGCATGTACATGTGCGACACATGTGAGTGCCAAAATGTACATTTTTTACTAAGGGATATGGAAGCTTGGCATTAAGCTCCAAAAAAACAAGCTAGTTAAATACTACACAAGGGTACTATCTTTCTTTCTACTATAAAATGTACCCTGCATTCACGTTTTGCTAGAAAACTACCAATTGTTATTTGCTGAATAAAATTTTATCTTCACTTTCTCTTTCTGTAATGGTTTTCAGAAAGTCTTCACCGAAGAAAACTAGATACCTCCTGCTTTAACTACTTGTTCTAAAATATTCTTATTCACACATACAAGATTGCCTAATAATGTTTCCTTACATTCCTAATACTTCTATCTGCTAATAATTTAATAAACCCAAAACACACCTAATAATTATTGCACTGTAGTAACTGTCATCATCATCATTATTATTATTATTATTATTATTATTATTATTTCCTCAAAAAGGAACTCATTGATTCCTTATTTACACTATATCAACTGGAGAAAAAAGCTGACATTTTGCGGGTGTGAGTAAAATGCTGATGCAGGCTGAGTCAGGTTCAGGCTTATTTTCCACGTATTGAGAAAGTCAAGTTTGCCACATGGCACACATAAAGCCTCATTCATCACTAGTGGTTTGCAGCAGAACCAGAGAGGGTGCCATGAAAGGTCAGCTGTTTTCCCCAGCTAAAGCTATAAGAGGAATTACACTTTTGCCTAAAGTTCTACCTTAATATGTACATACCCTTCAATTAAGCAAGGCTAGATTACCACTGTGGGTCAAAAACAGATTTGTTCACTAAAACTAAATCAATATTACTGTAGCACCTAGTACTTCCTTTGCAAACTAAAGGTATGGAAAAAAGGTAAAAAGTAAGATGGCTTTGTCTGTCTATTCTGCCATTTTTAGAGCGGAATCACAGACGTCTCTCCTAGCAGGGAGAAGAGGGGGGTGAGGGGTGGCTGTATTCTCAGGCTATCTACTTCCATGAGCTAAAAGTCAGACATTCTATTATCTACATATCATTTGGTTACCAGCTCTCCTAGTCTCTTTACATGTACTCTAGGTATACTGTTCTGTCTTATGCCAAGGATTTCATTGTCTGTCTATTCTGCCATTTCACTGTTTGCACTGTGCAGCTTATCTGTCTGTTCTCATGGCTACAATACCTGGATTAAAAGCATACAATGTTAGTACAATAAAACCAGTCTCCTTGCATTTGCTACAGAAATGTGATAGGTTTGTTGCATACTTTTGATTAAAAACGTCTAGTGGAAAATAATGGTCACAAGACAATTCTACTTTCAAGGCATGCAACTGCCCAACAACCTCATAAAAAAATGGAGAGGTTTTGTTCTAGGGTGAACTGTAGTAAACCCGAAGAGAACCTATGTAATCCAGGGTAAGAGCATTATTATATTGCTTTGTACATTGATACTTGAAGCCCAAAGGACAAACATCACTTGCTAGGAGCCAGCACTGGTCTCCATTAGAGCACAGCCAAGAAAAGGGGACCTTTAACCATACCATCACTCGTAAGAAGGGAAAGGTAAAAAAGTTAAAGATGCACAAAAGCCAAAGGCCCAAAAAGCCGGAGCTTATCCTGGTTTCTTTACCATGAAGCATGCCTAGGAATATTGCTACGCCCCCTAAGATGGGAGGTTAGTCCATCTCAAGGTTACTCCCCAGAAGTACATGTGTGTCGCCGGTACCCATTTATACATCTGGGTGAAGAGAGACAAAGTGGAGTAAAGTTCCTTGTCTAAGGAAACAACACAATGGGCAAGGCTTGAACCCTGGGCCTCCAGATCAGGAGTTCGAGGTGTTGATCACTCGGCCACACAAGCCTCCACTCTTAACAAGTGCCAAGTGCCCATTCAAAATTGTTTTAAATCCAAAACTAGCAGAAAGAAAATACTATGAGGATGGACTAAAAGGATATTAATTTGCACTTACTGTCCACATGAACATCAGTAAAAAATGGAGAGTAAACACACAAATAATGGTTTCTAAGGTCAACAAAAGAATGACTAAAGGGTGCATTTTTGAGTCTCTAATTCAAATAGTTCCTGACATAACAAAAAAGACCTCTGGTGTAAAAAGGCACATTGGAGCTAAAAATGTTGAAACCTGCCCGACCTCTAATTTACTGATCATGCAACCACATCATGAGTTGACATTGCTCTGATCTCAAAACCGCACAGAACAGAACATAACTTTAACTTCCATTGGTGGTAGTCATTCTCAACCAAAATATGCCAAGACAGCCCCCCTGTAAGGTTTCATGTGCACATTATCAAGTTTGCAAACTCTCACGAATTATCCAAGAGTCTCTTGATGAATATCGCACAAATCTCCTGTTCTCCCAGACAGGTTACTAAATCTCCTGGACAAAACTGCAATTTTGAGCTTTTATGTGCTTTAACTTGGAATTTAACCCATTTTTCCAAATATTCAAAAAGTTTTCTTTAAACATAGTATGGTTTCTGTGGCTTCTTTGCATGTACTCATCACTGACAGCACTATTTCGCACAGAAAGCAATTTTTGATGATCTGTACTTTGTGTGTAACTGTACACATGGATTTTACTTAGCAAACATTAATTTTTTGTTGTCCTGAAATAAAAAATCCACATGTGTAAGTAATTCCAGCATGCTAAGAATACTTAAAAATAAAATATTATTCATCCTTTCACTTCACTCTATGGTGATCTCATTTGCCATTCTAACTTTTGAATTTGTGGTTAAATCCCTATAGTGTTGCCACTCAAATGAAATCTCTTTGGCAGAAGTTTAGCATGGTACTATCAATTTCTTAGGAAAAAAATGGAATTAACAAATATATCTCAGACTGTACATAGCTCAACAACAATATTAGTGGACCACCAAAGAATATGAACACACTGGGCAAACTGCAAAGAATTTGGGAATAGAAAGGACAAACCAAAAATGATAAACTGAAATCAAAATCATTATATGAAGATCATTGCAGTTATAGATGCAACTTTTGCAGTTGCGAAAAGAAAGCCTGAAAAAATTCAAGCATGTACAGGATTCCAACCCTTGACCTCTGCAATACCGACAGCGTTCAACCAATTATTGAGCTAACAAGCCAACTGGGAGCAGGTTTAAATCAAAATCATTATAATGTTAACTTTGAACTAAGGCTACACTGCATCGATACCAAGCAGATTAAAAATTATGAGGATAAGAAGTGAACTAATCTGAAAATTTCAGGCAAACATTTTCTGACTGAACTCATACATGTTTGATTTTCAGTTAATTCCTTTTCACTATCTACATGAATAAAACTTCACATACATGTAGTTCTGGGGCTTAAAACAAATAAGATGAATATACATGTACCAGACTCTGAAATGACCAGGTAAAACAATAGTCAAGTAAAGGACTCACCTTGATATCAAAATTTACGATCAATAAGGCCTGTAACCTCGATTATTTTTGTCAACTCCACTGGCACCACGACTATTTATGCGATTGGTTGGACCATAACTGGAATTCACCTGACTGTAGTTCCCTATCTGGTAATCAGCTGATGCTCCCCCAGCCCCAGCACCTAAACTACCACCTCCAACTCCCCCAGGAAACTGACTCCAGTCACCCATACCCCCAGGAAAACCACCAAAACCACCTGGAAAATTTCCATGGCCATATGCAGCAGCCAAAGGGTTGCTCATGCTGTCATACCCACCACCAGAGCTTCCGCCTGGAACAGACATTCCACCTGTAGGATTACGGTCACCAATAGAAGATCCTTTCAGGTCAGCCATGCCATACGGACTGTCACCAAAGTTTTCTTTTTCATAACTACTGGAACTACTATGACTGCGCCCTCCTCCACCATAACCACCTCCACCAAGTGAAGCAAAGCCACTGCCGCCTACAGAACCACCAACGCCAACGCCACCACCAGCTCCACCTCCACCAAAACTACCTGGGCCAAAGCCTCCAAACCCACCAAAGAAACCTGGATTAAAGCCACCAAAGCCCATGCCATTGAATCCAAAACCAGAGCCCATTCCCATTGACGCGGGATTAAAGCTAGCAAAGGCAGCAGGGTTGAATCCACCACTAAGAAGAGCTGCTGCAGCTGCTTGGCTGTTGAAGCCACCCATACCCATACCCAAGCCGCCCATGCCCATACCCATACTGCTGCCGCCACCTCCACCCATGCTGCTTCCGCCTCCAAAACTGCCACTCCCTCCCCCACCACCAAAGTTTCCTGAAAGAAGAAAACAACATTTATTATTAAGAACAAATCTTAATAAAACAATGTAACTCATTTGCAGATGTTCTTTCCTCCTTAAGATTATCACTATGAAACAGAACCTGCAGTGAGATTTTTGTCAAACTAACCACTTATAAATAACCTAGCCCAACAACACAACTCAGTGACCCAGACATCAGGGCTTGAACCTGAACCTTTCGATCCACAGTCCAACACACTAACCAGTAGACCACCATACATCTAACTCAAGTCATTGACAACAAAGGAGAATTTAAAGTTTGTTCACAATCAGTGCTTTACACAAGTCTCAGTAGTGTACATGGTGTACATGTACATGTATATACAGACGACTCTCTCTTAATGGACACCTCTATAAGACGGACACCTTTGTAAAATGGACACCTAAAGTTGATCCCTGCCTTTCTTTACTCTCGTTATTTGACTCTCTATCAGATGGACATCTCTATAAGACAGACACCTAGATTGGTTCCTGCCTTTCTTTACTCCCTTTCTTTGACTCTCTACAAGACGGACACCCCTGTAAAACAGACACCTGGATTTGGTCCCTGCCTTTCTTTACTCCCTTTATTTGACTCTCTATAAACAGAAATCTCTCTCAGATGGACACTTGGTGCTGGTCCCAAAGGTGTCCGTCTTTGAGAGAGTTGACAATACTCTTACCTCTTCCACCTGAATTCCCAAATCCTTGATTCATTCCACCAAATCCAGCACCCAGACCCCAGTTCATGGGAAAACCTAAAAACATTAAAAATGTTTCCATTGTTAGAGTCCATACAGCAACATATCTCCAGAAATTATAGAGGCTTTGTTTTTGCTACCCCATCTAACATTTCTTGCTCCCTTACACCCAGCCAGCGGAGCTTTTCTTTCACTTGCTCGATTTTGGCATACTTGAGAAAGAGTCTGCATGAATCAAGTAACATCTTTGTTGAGTGCGCGCTGCATGATGGTAGGATACAGTCTTGAACCCAGGCAAAATAGACCGGCAGTCGGTAGAGTGAGCTCAGTTATGACAGTAGGTTCATCAATAAATGGATGATTGCTGCAATGCTGCAGCTGTAATGCCAATTTTGTGCGGACAAAATAATATCAGCTAGCCTGCAATCTTGCTGCCTCTCATCACACTCTACTGCTTGTGAAATGTCCCCAGCGGCATGCAGGGAGTGAGAAGAGGTGGCTGTATCATAGCCCAAATATCATCATGGAGATCACTAACAGAGAGCGATTGCAGAATACCTGGCCCACTAATGTCTTACTTGCAGTAAGTAACTAGTGTGTTCAAAGAACAACGTATACAACTAGTGTTCCCACAGTCCTGTACTCCCACAGTGGATGTCAAGTAACTAGTGAGTTTATAGAACAAGGTATACTGGTGCTCCTGCAGTCCTGCACTTTCGCATTTGATGTCAGAATTTATCATGGAATTAATCGGACGACTGTGGGACTGGTTTTCTAAGTTAGATATTAAGTGAGCTGGGTATTCTGCAATTTAGCCACTGCTAGTTTGCAAACATGATTTGCAACTTAATGTTCAGCAAAGAATGCCTGAGTAAAAGGGCATTTGGAGACATGAGTGAGGGAAATTCCAGTACCATTACATGGCATTAGCAGGAAGTGATGAGGGTGGAAGTGGTCAAACTGCCTCCATCAGGAACATGCTAGGGCAATGAAGGGGCGAGGCGGATGGAGGGGGGAACTTTCCTACCTCCGAAGCTGGGTGTGTCCAGCGATGATCGCGACTCACGAGACCGGCCACTGACCCTGAACTCTTCTTCTTCTTTCTTTCTCATAGCTGCTTGTGATTCAGCTCTTTTCACCTCACACTGCTTCATCTTGATCTGATGCATGGTAATCGAGCAAATTTTATCCACGACCTCTTCGGAGTCAAATGTAACGAAAGCAAAGCCACGGAGTCGGTTGGGGTTTTCTTTATCCCTCTTTAGGTCAACATCGAGAACCTTCCCTACACCAAACTTGGCGCAAAGCTTGCCGAAGTATTCTTCGACATCACTTTCCGTGGCAGTGCTCGCCAGTCCACCGACAAAAATCTTCCGCGTTCGCGAAGTAACTTCTCCTCTAGGAACCGATCGTTTAGGCTCGATCTCCCAATTATCCAATTCGTGTCGCTTTACTTTTAAACAATCATCCACCGCTTGAGAACTGTCGAATGTCACAAAACCGAACCCACGCGAAGGCCCGTTCTTCCCTTCTCGCATAATAACACAATCCACGATATTTCCCCATAGAGAAAAATATTCCTTCAAAGATTCTTCGCTTGTCCGACGGTTAAGTCCACCAACAAAAATTTTTCGCAGTTGTTCGGGTTCTGCAGACATGGCTTTCAAACTCTTTCTGCGTGAAAAGTTTTCCTGATTATGGTGGACGCCAAGACAGAATGTAACAAATTTGCGCCGACCACGTGGTCAATGAATAACAATGATCCTCTTCCTTATTTGGAATTGCACAGTAAACAATATGGCGGACATTAGCAAGGACATTATTCCGGCAAAAAAGAGAAGAACAGAGGCATCTACCGATCTCTGCGACGAAGTTCTACAGCTTGAGCAAGATCTATGTTGCAATCTTGACTCACTGAAGTTTTCTACTCCTGTTACACACGTTTATAACCCTTTAAAATATGCTAAAGAAACACACGAAGACTACGTGAGAAAGTTCTGTAAAGTTGGACAAAAAGTGCTTTTCTTGGGAATGAATCCAGGTCCTTTTGGGATGGCGCAGAACGGGGTAAGCAAAAAAATAGCCACACGTTCATTGCGTCACTTCTTATCTGTCAAAACTTGACTCGTGGGTTTGCGCCCCTCTGACATTTGGACGTTTGTACTGTGGTGGAGGGAGGGAAAGGTTGCAGTAAAAATATAATAGGGGCAAGGGACTTAAGGGGAGGAATTATACCTTAGGGCGAGTGAAAACTTTTGCCAGAATTAAGGTCAATCATCTTTATCTTAATATAGAATGACACTAATTAAGGAGTTAGTGTCTGAAGATCACCATCCCGCACAAAGCCCCCCTCCCCACCCCCACCAATCCTGAACCTTCTGACTCTAGAAAGGGTTTCATACTATCCTGTTCTAGGCTCTGAGGTAGTTGGGTCTGCAAAGTTGAGAAAGCATGAACACAAAATCATAAAGCGGGAGGAAACTGGGGAGAGGGAGCTCTCCCTTTTTCCCGCCACCACCTCCTTTTTCCAGATTACATGCTCTTTTTTTCGTGTGTCTTTCACTTATGCGTCATCCATACTATCTGAGAGCCTGAAACAGACTGATTTTGTATGAAATAGAAAGTAGACACAAGAATGCCATAATGTAGTACTGTTCTGTGATTATTGAATTATGACAACAAATTGGAGTAAATTCTTACAATAATGTTATGTGCAACTTCATTCATGGAGCTAGGCCTTCATCAAAACCTGGATCAGACCAAACCCTGTAAGCCCTTGAATGGTACACCTATAAAATAATAACAGCATACCTGAAACAGGTCCCTGAGCATCTTGGCAAATGTATTCAAAACAGTAAAGGTTTTTTGATGTTTTGTTTAAAGGATAGAAAAACCAATGAAGTCACTTAACGACAAAAGGTTAGGGATAGGATTACATGGGTTGATTATAGTCAGGTTTTGTTGTCACCAATTCATGTTTCTCTTAAAATAATTATTACATTATAGTCAACTGCTGCCTGGTTAGCTCAGTTGGGAGAGTGCCGGTCTGTCGAGCAGGAGGTTTTGGGTTCAAACCCTGGCCGGACCAACACTCGGGGTCTTAAAATAACTGAGAAGAAAGTGCTGCCTTTTTAATGACATCTGCAAATTGTTAGACTTTCTACTCCTCTCGGATAAGGACGAAAAACTGTAGGTCCCATCAATGATTTGTTCTTGTGGGACCCCACATCACTATTTGAAGAGAGTAGGGGTCATAGACCCCGGAGGTGTGGCCAACCTTGATGGGTTGTGGGATTGGGTAGGGACGGCACCTTCCATGGGACCTGAGTCCCGAGTCCCATTTGTGCACACTTCCTGTGGGCAAGGCCTGTGTCCAGAAAAGCTGGTAAATAAACTAATGATGAAATGAACACCAGCCATAAGTAGTGAGTCCAAACCTTGAGGAGAGAAAGGGGTACCTGTTTGGCCAAAATAAAGTATTTCAGCACACTTCCCTGTAGGTCTTAGGTCCCTCCCCTAGATCCATCAGTGTCCATCACACAGTCAACTCTTGAATTCTCTTGGGACTACTACAATGTTGTGCAGTTTACAGGCATTTTTCCTAGGGTGAGTTGCAGTCAAATGACTAAAGAACGGCAGGGTCCATGCTTTGTATAGAAAGTTAACAGTATTATGTTTTGGCTTTGTTGCATATCATGCTTTTTGACCTTTCTTAAATGATCTTTGTGATATTTACCAGTGAGTGAAGTCCAGTTTTCTTTGGACAGGTCCCTTTTGGAGACACAAAACATGTCAAAGAGTGGCTCCAAATTGTAGGACAGGTGAATAAACCAGAGAAAGAACACCCCAAGAGACCAATCCACGGCTTAGACTGTCAATGAGGTGAAGTCAGTGGAAGCCGCCTTTGGGGCTTTATCAAGGAACAGAGTAAATCTCCGGATAAATTTTTCCATAGTTGCTTTATTCATAACTATTGCCCTCTGGTTTTTATGTCATCAAGTGGAAAGAATATAACCCCACCTCACCTACCAAAGCGAGAAAGACAGCAACTCTTGGAAATTTGTGACAATTCCCTGGCAGAGTTTGTTAAACTTTCTGGGGTAAAGATAGTTGTTGGGGTAGGAAAGTTTGCAGAGGAAAGAGCTCACAAAGCTTTAAAAGACTTTGACGTTGAAATTTATTCAATAATGCATCCTAGTCCTGCTAGCCCAGCTGCTAATGGTTGTTGGAGTGACATTGCTTTGAAGCAGTTAACAGACGTGGGTTTAACCAGTTACATAAGAAATGAAAAGTTGTAATAGAGGACCATGAGTATTTTGCCGATTGTTAAATCAGTCAGCTGCCTTAGATTGGATTGATGATAGTGCATAATTTGCCAACAAGAGTTTTACTGTTGGTGAGATGTGGAAAAAATGCAGACTAGTTTTTCAAACAGTCATAATATTTGTTGAAAGTACAACACACAGGTCTAGTGGGAGCTGGCAGTCAGCTTGCAATGAACTGCATAAAGCACTCACAGTATGGATTCATCATCTTTTGCCTACTAAGCAGGCAACTATACAGTATAGATTGTATGAAAGTTTATGAGACTCACACCAAGGTTCTAGCCAGGAAAATAAGTGACATCTCAATCCAGCAGTTAAAAAAACAAAAAAAACAAAAACAAAAACAAATTCTTCGAAAGACCTGGCATCCACAGGAAGACCATTATGGGCCAACCTGGGTACCCACACATTGAAGCATGAGACATGTGGTAAGAGAGTAAGCAGATATCCTTTCAGCTTGTCGCACAATCCTTCATTGGGGAGGATTGTGTGACAAGCCAAAGGAGCATATGCTTGGGAGACTTCAGAGTGAAACAACACCCCCTTGTCTCACTTTGACAATGTGGTTATCCACTTTATCACTACAGTCTGACAGGATGGATTACCTTATGTCATTGCAGGGGAAAATAAAGAACAGCTACTTCACAGTACAAGAACTTTATTTTCGTTTTAACTATTACATATTTTGTTTGATGTCTGGAATGAAATGCTGAATTTATATTTTGTAAAAAAAGAATTAAATAAGTGACGAAATGATTGAAAGAAAAATGAAAACTATAAAAATGAGTTATGAGGTTGCAAGTAAAAACTTGTTAAAACTAAACAACATTTTGATTATTATTGTTATAACATTATTTTTATTCTGCTATGCAATGTTTGTGTCCTACTCGTAAAGGATATAAATCTAACGTATATATTATATAAAATCTAGGCATTTTGTTGATTTGGAGGTGTACCAAGTGATTTATTACTGTTAGAGGCCTTTAGATTAAAGGACGAGAATAACTACCATTATGAGATTTGATTTAAAGTTTTTTTGTGAATTGTCAAAATATAAACACAGCAGAAAGCTCCATAGTACTTTTTACCAGAAAAATTAGCACTGTTACCTTAATCAGAACAGGTTAAGCCTTCTCCGAATCACAAAATGATAAAACTTCTAACATTCTTACCACTATGATATTCTGGCTAAAACTCACAGTAGAGTGATGATGGCTACCACATTTTCTTGCCAAAATGATGCTGGCTCATGCACGAACACAGATTAGTATTAAGAAAATCTTGTACTCCTACTCAACCTCATCTTAGAATCTAAAGCTCTCTGTATCAATCAATAATAATATCTTCTGATGTGTAAGGTAATATTATTACTTTACACACCAGAAGAGGCACTCAAGTAAAATCCAAAATATCCGAGAGTTTGAGAGATGAGATGTGTCAGTTTTGGAGTCACTTCAAGATTTCTCAAAAAATTAATAATAATGGCAAGTTCACTTCTTTTAAATTAATAAATTTCGATTTCTCTGTAAATTTAGAGAATATTGACGCTTAACAATTCTCACATTAATTTTGAGATGCCAGGATGTTTAAGACCAAAGTAGTGAACATTGACAATAATATTTTTTTAGTCTTCCTTACAGTAACATAACTTTGCTTCCAAGAATAATTGCAAAACAACCGCAGTGTACAAGGAAAGTCGTGTCCGATGGCCCGGGGCTAGTCGATTTTGCTATTGGGCTAGTGATTTTTGTTCTTAACTTGCCCTATGGGCAAGTGCTTTTATTTTTTGGGAAATTCAAATTACAGAAGGACAAATCAATCCTGCCAATCAAAAAGGGTTTTGGGGCCAGTTGAAATGACTTGTGGGCTAGTACATGCTAGCAACAGCTTGCCCGAATGGCAGGCTGTGAAACTGACTTTCTTTGCATCCTGAACTGTGCAGGAGACTAAATCTGTAGCATAGAAAACTATGACAAAGGTGACCTAGCACTGAGCTTGAAAATAATGTACTTCATGAGTGTATTCTACAATACTAGAGAGATCAACCATCATATTCTTGGCAAACAGCAGACGTTTATTTCTTGTTCATTTATTTCCAACAGCTCACATTTATTTTGCTGTCTTCTTTTTCACTAAGAAGTTTTGTTTTCTTAGTGATAATTTATCCATCTGGGTGCAAGTGAAACTGATATGCAAACTAAAATGAAAATGAACAGCAAAGCCGAAAAAAACGAAAGTGGATGTTTGCCATAAGATGATGACGTTTAACCTCTCTACTGTCTTATTATCAGTAAATTATTGAACTTGTCATACACTGTACATAATCAACAACTCAGATGTTGCGACAGGTGTTGGGAGAGTTGGGGAAAATAACGTTTTTCCTTATATTACTAATCTTTTTACTAGTGAGAGGGACTCGTAATAATATTATATATGGCACAAATGTCTGTCAATTTTCCACAACATATTAATATTAGATTGTGTTTTATATCACTGAACTTTTCTTTTTTTAACTTTGTACAACCAAATAGATTTTCATGAATAGCTTCAAAACGCATTTTTTGAAAAATTTCCAGAAGTGAATGGGTTAAAGAAATTATTATTACATGAATGGCTAAACAGTCAGGCAAAATGAAGCAAGCAAGCCATGTGCTCCGATTAACTACCTGAGCAAGCGAAATGGACCTTGGTTATCTTACCAGCTTGGAACTCTGTTACCCCAAGTTTTGTTCAGTAGCCTCTTAGCCATAATACACTGAAGTCTTTAATGACCAAGCTTGTTCAGATCAGTCATACTGACCTCATGATTGGCCCATGATTATCATTATACCTTGACCAGTGCAATTATTCATCCATTATTCATGTTATGAGTCCTCGACACACTTAATAGCTCGCACCTCCACAGATACTGGCTCATCCACCATGAGCTTCACTCCAAACCATTTACTTTGAACCTAAATACAAAAACAATTTTTTATTCTAAATACTGGAAATGGTTGCTCACTTATCACAGTCAACATAAAGCATCAACTGGCAAGTCAATAGTTACTTCACATATGAAGGGGGTGGGGCGACTCCCTCCTGGATGGTGTCTACCAGAGGTTTTCTACCCTTACACTTTCTGCAATTTGATTGGCTTAGAGCAGTGGTATTTCAGCTTAATTTGAAATACCTACATGTGAAAATTACAAAACTTTTGCAGGTAGTAGTACAAACAAATAATAGCATGATTTGTACGGGATATTTGGCAGAAATACCACTCGTAATATTTCAAAATTGTCTCAAATTTCACTCGCCTAAATTATGTATAACAATTTCAAAATATCACTGGTGGTATTTACGCCAAATATCACTAAAAATCATGCTATTACCTATACAAAATGCATGTCTGTTAATAGGCCATTTCTGAGTTCCGAAAACTCTCACTTTCAAAATGAGGCCAAGTGCAAAACCTTTGTTGTGAAAATGAGTTTTATTTGCATGAGAATAGAAAATCATTTCCATATCAATGGCTCTGCACTTAGCCTCGCTTTGAATCAGAGGCTTGAGGCAAGTAAGATGGCTTTGTCTGTCTATTCTGTCATTTTTAGAGCGGAATCACAGACGTCTCTCCTAGCGGGGAGAAGAGGGGGGTGGGGGGAGGTGGCTGTATTCTCAGGCTATCTACTTCCATGAGCTAAAAGTCAGACATTCTATTATCTACATATCATTTGTTTACCAGCTCTCCTAGTCTCTTTACATGTACTCTAGGTATACTGTTCTGTCTTATGCCAAGGATTTCATTGTCTGTCTATTCTGCCATTTCACTGTTTGCACTGTGCAGCTTATCTGTCTGTTCTCATGGCTACAATACCTGGATTAAAAGCATACAATGTTAATTAGTACAAAAAAACCAGTCTCCTTGCATTTGTTAGAGAAATGTGATAGGTTTGTTGCATACTTTTGATTAAAAACGTCTAGTGGAAAATAATGCTGACAAGACAATTCTACTTTCAAGGCATGGGACTGCCCAACAATCTCATAAAAAAATGGAGAGGTTTTGTTCTAGGGTGAACTGTAGGGAACCCAAAGAGAACTTATGTAATCCAGGGTAAGAGCATTATTATGCTTTGTGCAGTGATACTTAAAACCCAAAAGGCAAACATCACTTGCTAGGAGCCAGAACTGGTCTGCATTTGAGCACAGCCAAGAAAAGGGGACCTTTAACCATATCATCACTCTTAAGAAGGGAAAGGTAAAAAGTTAAAGACACAAAAAAAAACCAAAGGCCCAAAAAGCCGGAGCTTATCCTGGTTTCTTTAGAACGAAGCATGCGTAGGAATATTGCTATGCCCCCTAGGATGGGAGGCTAGTCCATCACAAGGTTACCCCCAGAAGTACGTGTATGTCGCCGGTACCCATTTATACGTCTGGGTGAAGAGAGACAAAGTGGAGTAAAGTTCCTTGTCTAAGGAAACAACACAATGGGCAAGGGTTGAACCCTGGGCCTCCAGATCAGGAGTTCAAGGTGTTGATCACTCGGCCACACAAGCTTCCACTCTTAACAAGTGCCAAGTGCCCATTCAAAATTGTTTTAAATCCAAAACTAGCAGAAAGAAAATACTATGAGGATGGACTAAAAGGATATTAATTTGCACTTATTGTCCACATGAACATCAGTAAAAAAATGGAGAGTAAACACACAATTAATGGTTTCTAAGGTCATCAAAAGAATGACTAAAGGGTGCATTTTTGAGTCTCTAATTCAAATAGTTCCTGACATAACAAAAAAGACCTCTGGTGTAAAAAGGCACATTGGAGCTAAAAATGTTGAAACCTGCCTGACCTCTAAATTACTGATCATGCAACCACATCATGAGTTGACATTGCTCCTGTTCTCCCAGACAGGTCACTAAATCTCCTGGACAAAACTGTAATTTTGAGCTTTTATGTGCTTTAACTTGGAATTTAACCCATTTTTCCAAATATTCAAAAAGTTTTCTTTAAACATAGTATGGTTTCTGTGGCTTCTTTGCATGTACTCATCACTGACAGCACTATTTCGCACAGAAAGCAATTTTTGATGATCTGTACTTTGTGTGTAACTGTACACATGGATTTTACTTAGCAAACATTAATTTTTTGTTGTCCTGAAATAAAAAATCCACATGTGTAACTAATTCCAGCATGCTAAGAATACTTAAAAATAAAATATTATTCATCCTTTCACTTCATTCTATGGTGATCTCATTTGCCATTCTAACTTTTGAATTTGTGGTTAAATCCCTATAGTGTTGCCACTCAAATGAAATCTCTTTGGCAGAAGTTTAGCGTGGTACTATCAATTTCTTAGGAAAAAAATGGAATTAACAAATATATCTCAAACTGTACATAGCTCAACAACAATATTAGTGGACCACCAAAGAATATGAACACACTGGGCAAACTGCAAAGAATTTGGGAATAGAAAGGACAAACCAAAAATGATAAACTGAAATCAAAATCATTATATGAAGATCATTGCAGTTATAGATGCAACTTTTGCAGTTGCGAAAAGAAAGCCTGAAAAAATTCAAGCATGTACAGGATTCCAACCCTTGACCTCTGCAATACCGACAGTACTCAACCAATTATTGAGCTAACAAGCCAACTGGGAGCAGGTTTAAATCAAAATCATTATAATGTTAACTTTGAACTAAGGCTACACTGCATCGATACCAAGCAGATTAAAAATTATGAGGATAAGAAGTGAACTAATCTGAAAATTTCAGGCAAACATTTTCTGACTGAACTCATACATGTTTGATTTTCAGTTAATTCCTTTTCACTATCTACATGAATAAAACTTCACATACATGTAGTCCTGGGGCTTAAAACAAATAAGATGAATATACATGTACCAGACTCTGAAATGACCAAGTAAAACAATAGTCAAGTAAAGGACTCACCTTGATATAAAAATTTACGATCAATAAGGCCTGTAACCTCGATTATTTTTGTCAACTCCACTGGCACCACGACTATTCATGCGATTGGTTGGACCATAACTGGAATTCACCTGACTGTAGTTCCCTATCTGGTAATCAGCTGATGCTCCCCCAGCCCCAGCACCTAAACTACCACCTCCAACTCCCCCAGGAAACTGACTCCAGTCACCCATACCCCCAGGAAAACCACCAAAACCACCTGGAAAATTTCCATGGCCATATGCAGCAGCCAAAGGGTTGCTCATGCTGTCGTACCCACCACCAGAGCTTCGGCCTGGAACAGACATTCCACCTGTAGGATTACGGTCACCAATAGAAGATCCTTTCAGGTCAGCCATGCCATACGGACTGTCACCAAAGTTTTCTTTTTCATAACTACTGGAACTCTTATGACTGTGCCCTCCTCCACCATAACCACCTCCACCAAGTGAAGCAAAGCCACTGCCGCCTACAGAACCACCAACGCCAACGCCACCACCAGCTCCACCTCCACCAAAACTACCTGGGCCGAAGCCTCCAAACCCACCAAAGAAACCTGGATTAAAGCCACCAAAGCCCATGCCATTGAATCCAAAACCAGAGCTCATTCCCATTGACACGGGATTAAAGCTAGCAAAGGCAGCAGGGTTGAATCCACCACTAAGAAGAGCTGCTGCAGCTGCTTGGCTGTTGAAGCCACCCATACCCATACCCAAGCCGCCCATGCCCATACCCATACTGCTGCCGCCACCTCCACCCATGCTGCTTCCGCCTCCAAAACTGCCACTCCCTCCCCCACCACCAAAGTTTCCTGAAAGAAGAAAACAACATTTATTATTAAGAACAAATCTTAATAAAACAATGTAACTCATTTGCAGATGTTCTTTCCTCCTTAAGATTATCACTATGAAATAGAACCTGCAATGAGATTTTTGTCAAACTAACCACTTATAAATAACCTAGCCCAACAACACAACTCAGTGACCCAGACATCAGGGCTTGAACCTGAGCCTTTCGATCCACAGTCCAACACACTAACCAGTAGACCACCATACATCTAACTCAAGTCATTGACAACAAAGGAGAATTTAAAGTTTGTTCACAATCAGTGCTTTACACAAGTTTCAGTAGTGTACATGGTGTACATGTACATGTATTTACAGACGACTCTCTCTTAATGGACACCTCTATAAGACGGACACCTTTGTAAAATGGACACCTAGAGTTGATCCCTGCCTTTCTTTACTCTCGTTATTTGACTCTCTATCAGATGGACATCTCTATAAGACAGACACCTAGAGTTGGTTCCTGCCTTTCTTTACTCCCTTTCTTTGACTCTCTACAAGACGGACACCCCTGTAAAACAGACACCTGGATTTGGTCCCTGCCTTTCTTTACTCCTTTTATTTGACTCTCTATAAACAGACATCTCTCTCAGATGGACACTTGGTGCTGGTCCCAAAGGTGTTCGTCTTTGAGAGAGTTGACAATACTCTTACCTCTTCCACCTGAATTCCCAAATCCTTGATTCATTCCACCAAATCCAGCACCCAGACCCCAGTTCATGGGAAAACCTAAAAACATTAAAAATGTTTCCATTGTTAGAGTCCATACAGCAACATATCTCCAGAAATTATACAGGCTTTGTTTTTGCTGCCCCATCTAACATTTCTTGCTCCCTTACACCCAGCCAGCAGAGCTTTTCTTTCACTTGCTCGATTTTGGCATACTTGAGAAAGATTCTGCATGAATCAAGTAACATCTTTGTTGAGTGCGCATTGCATGATGGTAGGATACAGTCTCGAACTCAGGCAAAATAGCCTGGCAGTCGGTACAGTGAGCTCAGTTATGACAATAGGTTCATCAATAAATGGATGATCACTGCAATGCTGCAGCTGTAATGCCAATTTTGCGTGGACAAAATAATATCAGCTACCCTGCGATATTGCTGCCTCTCATCAGCACTCTACTGCTTGTGAAATGTCCCCAGCAGCATGCAGGCAGCGAGCAGAGGTGGCTGTATCGTAGCCCAAATATCACTACCAGGGAGCGATTGCAGAATACCTGGCCCACTAATGTCTTACTTGAAAAACTGCTCCTGCAGTAGTGTTCTATTATGCCGAATACTTCAATCTAAGCGAGTAAAATGAGTGCTCCCGCTGCAGTCCTGCACTCCTGCAGTTGATGTCAAGTAACTAGTGTGTTCAAAGAACGACGTATACAACTAGTGCTCCCACAGTCCTGTACTCCCACAGTGGATGTCAAGTAACTAGCGAGTTTATAGAACAAGGTATACTGGTGCTCCCGCAGTCCTTCACTTTCACATTTGTTGTCAGAGTTTATTATGCAATTAATCGGACGACTGTGGGACTGTGGGAGCGGTTTTCTAAGTTAGATACTTAGTGAGCTGGGTATTCTGCAATTTAGCCACTGCTAGTTTGCAAGCATGATTTGCAACTTAATATTCAGCAAAGAATGACTGAGTAAAAGGGCATTTGGAGACATGAGTGAGGGAAATTCCAGTACCATTGTATAGTATTAGCAGGAAGTGATGATGGTGGAAGTGGTCAAACTGCCTCCATCAGGAACATGCTAGGGTAATCAAGGAGGGGGGAACTTTCCTACCTCCAAAGCTGGGTGTGTCCAGCGATGATCGCGACTCACGAGACCGGCCACTGACCCTGAACTCTTCTTCTTCTTTCTTTCTCATAGCTGCTTGTGATTCAGCTCTTTTCACCTCACACTGCTTCAACTTGATCTGATGCATGGTAATCGAGCAAATTTTATCCACGACCTCTTCGGAGTCAAATGTAACGAAAGCAAAGCCACGGAGTCGGTTGGGGTTTTCTTTATCCCTCTTTAGGTCAACATCGAGAACCTTCCCTACACCAAACTTGTCGCAAAGCTTGCCGAAGTATTCTGCGACATCATCTTTCTTAGCGGTGCTAGCCACTCCTCCGACAAAAATCTTCCGCGTTCGCGAAGTAACTTCTCCTCTAGGAACCGATCGTTTAGGCTCGATCTTGCAATTATCTAGTTCGTGTGACTTTACTTTTAAACAATCATCCACTGCTTGAGAGCTTTTGAATGTCACAAAACCGAACCCACGCGAAGGTCCGTTCCTCCCTTCTCGCATGATGACGCAATGCACGATATTTCCCCATCGAGAAAAATATTTGTTCAAAGATTCTTCGCTTGTCCGACGGTTAAGTCCACCAACAAACATTTTTCGCAGTTGTTCGGGTTCTGCAGACATGGCTTTCAAACTCTTTCTGCGTGAAACGTTTTCCTGACCAAGCCGCCAAGACAGAATGTGAGTACTTGTTCAGCCTCGTACCCAGGCCTGTTCGCGCTATCCGAGTGACCAGAGGAGGCTTGGAACCGAGCGCGATAGCGCGAGGCCTGGCAAAAAATGGCAAAAAAGTCCCAGATCGACGAGAAAAAGTCCCAGATAATTTCTCGACGAAAATCCTTTGTTTTCTGCGACGATCACGGAATATTTCGGACTCATGAGATTAACACATCTCTTCCGAGCATCTTTGGACCGTTTCAACTGATAGCAACGAAATGTGGCGGGCATGTTTTCGCAAAAACACTGGTAAGTTAACAGGACCTGAACAATCGATGAAAATCGATCATCGGAAAATCAATCGATCAATCGATGACAATCGATTAATTACTGTTGATTAGCATCGATTGGCATCGGCCAATCGATGATCAATCGATAATCACACCTAGGTGGTCGCGAACTTCATCGATTACCATCGATTGGCACTAAATTCATCTCTCCGCATCTTCAGGTATCGCGGGAGTGTACGCAGATCGTATATTATTTTTAAAGCTCAGTATTAAAGTTTGAGAATTGTTCATCGATGTGGCTCGGTGAAAAACAGCACAAAAAATAAAGACAATCAACATGTCTCGTTGTCAGTAGTACAAACTTGATCGATTTAGTTTCGAGTCCATTGCAAAGATTCAACTGACCTGGGACGCAGAAATGTCACGTATAACAGAAAATGTGTGCATTAAATTGAACATATTTTATGAATACTTAGCTAAACTGTTGGCTCCAAACGTTACATCACGCTGTTTCGTTGAAGCATAACAGTGGGGTTTGTTTTTCTTACACACAAATCCGTATTACGTTTCTATGAATTTTAAACTCGCGCGAAACGAAACAAGTTTTCTGCCACCAATCAGAAGCCAGAACAGCGGGGACCGTTTTGAACTGGTCTGGTAAGCCATTGTCCCCAGGGGCTCTTCTCGCCGTTCTTTACTTTTCTTCGTGCCATATTTTTCCGCCCGTTTAGACTTTCCCTCGCCCCCACTATCTGCCCCTGGGTCTCCGAGGATGGAAACGTGTGGGCAAATAAAAAGTTACGCATTGCTACTCGCTAGTTTTTACTCAAATGAAAAGCAATGATATCAAAATGTGTAACTTTATTAGTACTCGATGAAATTGACAATTGAAATGTTTGAATGAATAGGTAATCGATTGATATTGCATTTTGATAACAATCTATTATGTTAATTGATCGATTCCCATCGATTATCGATTGATATTGATAATCGATGATAATCAATAATCACAAAAATTTTCGTGATCGATTGTCCATCGATTACCAATATCAATCGATTAATTGATATCGATTGTCATCGATTGTTATCGATTGCCATCGATTATCGATTTCATCGATTGTTCAGGTCCTGAAGTTAAGCATATCGTTTACAGTCTTGTTCGCTACACGAAGCTAGAAAAAAGTTTCTTCGTAGTTGGGCATGGGACTATCACTGTACACTGTATGTACACTAGTATCAAAGGCTTCATTTTCATTGAACAAAATGGGCGTTGATTTCCTAGTTACAGGGCTATAGTGGGCTTATTTTGCCTTTGTTGTTCGAATTGTTGGTAGAAAAAATCACGAGAATCATTTACGGTAAAAGCGAAAAAAAAAAAAAAAAAAAAAAAACACTACATACCATTTTCAGCTGTTTGAATATGCTTTTTGCCCTTTATAATAACTTAGTATCTTGAACTTGTACCTTGCAGCTCCCAGTTCATGCAGAACATTCTAATAGTCTATTTTGAAAATAGCACCAGTAACTCATGTAATATTCGGGTGTCTTAGTTTTACCTGATTTTTAATGATATGATTATCATTCTGTCCTTTATATGATTGCGACTTAGAGCGATTTTACTTGACCCATGAATCATTTAATAACAACTATTGCAAAATATAGCTACAAATAAACAAAAGAAGACAATAGAATAATTGCATGATAGTGCTTAGTATTCTACTTCCTGTTTCATGCGTTAAGTAAAATCACTCTGAAGGAGTTTGCAATTTTAGAGATGGGAAAATTTTGGATAATTGACACTTAATCTTAATTTACCTGCCTGACAGGCATAATTTCTGAGCAAGGTATTGTACATCAAATGTTTAGTTTTTTATTATATATTATTGTCTATTTTTTTACCTTCCTTTACATTAATTTTCAGAAAGTTTTGAAGGGGATGAAAGGAGAGTATGTAATAGATGACACTGGGGATGCGAAGGATACAGGAACAAAAGGAAAATGTAATTAAGCTGAAGAAAACTTGAAATGGAAATAAAGATATGAAACCATGATGTTTAATATTGAATTTCTTAGGTTTCATCAAACAAAACTGTATTGATTTTATAAGGAAATTAGATTGATTTCCTTACAAGCCATAGTTTTGAACACTTGTGAAATTTGTTAAGAGAAATTGTTTAAACCTGCTAACAACTACTTCTTGTCTTGTAAAAGTTGTTGTGGGAATGGGTTGGGGAAACAACTTCAAGACCAACTCAAGACCTTTTTCCACTTAATTTGATGCCATAATGGTACCATTGACTGGGCCAACTACATGCCATTTTCAGCTCTTTGAATATGCTTTTTGCTCTTTATAATAACCTAGTGCCTTGAACTTGTATCTTGCAGCTCCCAGTTCACGCAGAACATTCTAATTGTCTATTTTGAAAATAGCACCAAAAACTCATGTAATATTATTTTTAAACTTATGACTCACTGGAAGACCACTGCTGCGAAAGTGGTTCGAGATAAAAAAGAAAACAGAAAAAAGAGGAAAGCACTTAATTTGAGTGTCAATGTATTCAGCACAAAGGTAATAATTGGGGACACTATTTTACGTTTACTACTGCCATTTTTTATGGTCATGCATCCGAGCCACGCAAAGGTCTAGCCATTTGCAGCAGGGCAAAGGTAATACCTTCATTTCTCAGTCATTTTAAGATCCTGAGTTTTGGTCCGACCCCAGGAATTGAAATTGTGACCTCCCACTCTGCAGTCAAGCACTCTACCAACTGAGCTAATCCTACCACGGTTGAGATAAAGTTTACATAAGATAGTAGTACAGTGGAACATAGAGCCTAGATATGGGGTCGTGCAACAACAACAACAATAGAATCAGACATTAATAGAAACAGAAAGAAAGCTTGACTGAAAGTTTTTAACAGTCCCCAAAGGATCATCTCATTTAAATTGTGGGTAGATACACTGGTTGAAGATATCTTGGATATGGAATTAAATTTTATTCATGTTAAATGCTATAAAAGCATGGACACAAAGTGTTTTACATCTGATGCCGTTTCAGGATATTTGAACGCTCCTGATGTTACTCAGTATGTTGTAAACTGCCCCTATAGCTTGTATCTGCCACATTGAGGCGTATTCAAAAGGTTGACAGCACTTCATGACTTCTGTTTTGTATAGTTAATGGACAAAAGCAGCGTCTACGACTTGATCCACTATCGTTTAGGACTACACCTAGGCTAGAAGTCTCTCTTGAATTGCAATGCGCGCAGTGCTACGATTCGATTAACAAGTTCTGCATCCGCTAGATAATATGCTGAGTACAGAGCTAATTCGATGACACTTCTTTCACGAAGTTCAACATGGGTTAACTCATTCCCGACAGGCAGCTTCCTTCCCCAGGTACATTCAATGGGACATGTACACACTCCTGAGATGCGACGATTTGTTGGGCTGAATTAAATCCATATTTTTTGATACAATCAAAACTCGAAATTACTGACCTACGATAATAACAGTTGTACACGCGGAACGATTCCTTGAGAGAAAATTCTCCATCATCTCTAGGTATTTGATGGCAAACGTTGATTAAAGAATCCCAACCTATTTCCGACGCTTTTTTTCATTTCTTCAAGAATCTTGGCTGAAGTCGCATTCTTGGCGCCGCCATTTTGGATTTGCCATTATTTCCCAGGCGTCCTAGGCGAATTTTCCCGACAAGCTTGACAGGTGACGTCACATCCGAAATCGCCGAGGACGACTGGGAACGAGGCTGGTACTTGTGTAGCAACTTTGCGCTAAGCACGTGGTCAATGAATAACAATAATCCTCTTCCTTATTTGGAATTGCACAGTAAACAAACAAAAGGGACTTTTTTTAAAAGATCCAACGACGCGGACGACAACAAGAACGTCAAAAAAACAATAGGTTTAAAGGCACTGGTTCACGATAATGCGCATGCGCGCCGTTTGTCTCTTCAGAATAAATTTGTTGGGTCAACACTAAATTCGAAATCGCCATTACCGGTACAATCATTGAAAATCCTTCGTTTTATTCGGACATCCGTCGCATTGGCTGGTCTAGTTATACTTCGGTAGTGGTGATTAACGTGTGGTTGTGTCGTTTGACTGGTTACGTTTTAAGAAGACGCAAAAAATAATGTTTTTGCTCATGGAGGTTCAGAAGAGCATCGTGGCCGTCTGGCGACAGGACGTTCTCAAGAGTCTCTGGAGATAGAGAAGCTTAGCCTATCGATCTGGTATGGTTCTAGGAGTAGTGCGTGGCTTACGAAAAGAATACACGACACTTGGAAAGTGGTTAAAGGCATGAATTCGTTCGACTTTGATTTGATTTTTGACTCCGACCTGTATACCGCAACAGGCCGCGCGATATTCACCGATCTGGTACACTTGAAATGTTCCTTGTATCTTTGCTTTACGATCGTATATGTTTAAGAATTGATGTTTTTAAAATAAATTATTGCCTGAATATTCTGTTAATAATCTAGTTTCTTTATGTGTTCTACTCGATAACATTTGTTTTGCGGAACACTGACCCGATGCAACGCGAATGAATTTGTTCATTTGCTGATAAGCGATTGAAATTTATGCTCAATTAAGGATAATCTTTATACTCATAAGTTGTGTGTTTTTGTCACCGGTCAGGCGCTATTTGTAGGTATTTCTGGGTTTATATAAGGCCAACTGAGAGAACAGTAATAAGATGTTTGTTTACAAATTTTGTTTGCCGATCGGTGACTGTTTTGTTAGCGTGGGTACGACCTCGTGAAAATACACGTTGGTAAATGTTTGTTTCAAAGCAGGACAGGGCTGTGAATCTTATTCTTATCGGCTGCAACATATATCTGAGGAGTAGCAAAGTATAAACTTGAATTATGGGGATAAATAAAATCAAACCAAATGCCCGGAAATACTCTCGCGTCGCGAACAATTAATTTGAATTTTGTAAATTTACTTGCGTGCATCTAACTCGCTTCCGATTGGTTGAAAAACAATCAGCTACTGACAGAACTCACACATGCGCATTATCGTGAACCAGTCCCTTTAATTAGCAAAACAACGACTTCGCACGTGCATCACAATTTTTTGTACATTTCTTTCCCGTTTTTGCACGACTACGACGTGAAAATGCCTAATTTCCCGTTTTATGGAGGACGTAAACAAGCAACGACGAAATTTTATTTCTCTTTCTGAGCTTGAATATGGTCTCTTGAAATTCAGTGTCAGGAGGGTTCGCCTACAATTGACAAAGTAAGTGGGTAGGAATAATCAATATAGAGACTGAAAGAACGCAAATTCACTTTTTAAGCGACGTTCTTGTCGCCGTCGCGTCGTTGGATCTTAAAGTCCCTAAAGACAACGCGACGGCAAAGACAAAACTCCAAAGACAACGCGACGGCAAAGACAAAACTCCAAAGACAACGCGACGGCTAACAGAACGGCGCGCGCACAAGAAAATAACCGATTAGGACTGGGTCGAGAACTCGGTCGCGTCGCCAGAAAAAGTGATTTAGCAAAGAACAACACATCCTCGGAGACCCAGGGGCAGTCAGTCGGGTCGATAAAATGTTCGTGGTGAAAGTTTACTGTAAGAACAAGACGAGCCCCTGGGCACTTACTCTTACCGAACCAGTTCCAGAAGCGTTTGAATTGCCTGCCTCTGATTGGCCAGAAAAAATATTTTCTGGCCAATCAGCGAAGAGAAGCTGCCGGGTGACTCTCGTGTTTTCTTACACGACGTACTTTTTCTTATCGATCGCTATAGTTGCCTAGCGCGTTCAACGGGAAAGTTTCCCGAGGAAAGTTTCAGAACAAAATGTTAACAACCCGCCAAAACTACAACCTTTAGCACGGCTACAAGAAACAAACACTCTCCGATGAATTTTTAAGGCGGATCTTTCCAAGGTATCGTAAATTTTTATTGCTGATACGATACACGATGCATGACTTTCACTTTCCACACCTTAATTTGCTCACATTGTTTAGTATACAACTCCAAGCTTACATTTAGATGTCCATGTTCGTTGCACGACTTCTGAAACTTTCTACAGCGTGAAAATTTCCGTTGCACGGGCCACGAAACTACGTCGATTGATCGTGGGAAATGCCGGCTAGCGCATAGCTGCAGTGCCTTCTTCTTGCTTTTGCTCCAAATTTTAAGCTTAAAAGCTTACAGCAGTTGACCGTTCGAATTCTGCCGAAGTTGATAGTAGTGTTAACTTTAGATTCGAGGGAAACGTCCAGCAAGCGCTTGAAGAAGGCTTGCAAAGATTTGTTACTGAGAAGATTGTGAAAAGAAGAGATGTTCTTGGGCAATTGATAGAAGAGTCTAACCTTCCAAATGTTGCCTGTAAGCTAGGGGGTTTAAAAATCGTTAGATGCTAAAGGTTATGAATTCCCTTGTAATCCTTTGGTCATAGTGATTTCACCTCTCATGTCAGTTGTTGAGGACCAGGTAAAGTACTCGAGGTCACTAGGAATTCAGGCCGCTTACTTAGGGGAAAGCAAAACGAAAGATCGAGAAATATTGAATGGATAGGGAGCGTTTTCTTTGTTGTATGGAAGCCCGAAATCATTAACTGGGGGACAAGAAATTCAGGGCAATGTTCTCTACGGAGTTTTACCAGAAGAATCCTGTTGCAGGTACATACAGCTGTTCATTGGTAAGTATGCTGATTTGTTTACTAGAAAGGGTGCTACACTGGATTCATTGTGGGGAGTTCTGAAGGGGTAAAATGGGATTTAAGTCACTGGCAGGGGGATTCTATCACTGAGAATGGAAAAAAAATGTAAAAAATGGGAATTGAGGGTTAAACAGTTTCAATGGGATTGTTATCCCCTCTGCAGGACCCTCATTATACTTAACAGTAGATCTGGCTTTTATTCAAGGATGCTCAGTAATCTTATGTCTAAAAGCTGACAGACACTTCACAAGAATTATCATGTTTTTTGTCACCATCTATTGACAATTAAAAGCTGATAAAGTAAGCCT